CCTCACAGAGACCCAGCTGAGTGGGTGGCCGGGCTGAGCACCAGGCCTGTCGGACCCAGCACACTTCCTGCGGTGGTTGCAGCAGGGGCAAGCGGGTCACCTGCCCTGAGGGGCAGGACGAGCCTCCCACGGGAAGGGTGATGGGGATGTGCAGGCCCAACTCCTGGGCCTGGGTGCTGGGCTGAGGGTCCAGGGAGCGGGACATGCCACCGCCTGGGCTTCTTCTGGCCGTGGGCTGCCAGGGGGACCCGGCGGGCAAGCCGGCTGCCAGACAGGGGGCTGAAGGCCCCGTGGGAAGGCGAGAACGGTCTGCAAATGCTGGGGCCAGTGGCCAAGGCTACAGACGCCCTGAGGAGGCCGTGGCCTTTGCCGGTGGGGTTGCGGGCTGGCTGGGGGTCCTGGCCTGCCCCGCTGCAGTGGCTGCCCTGCAGGGAAGGAGTCCTGAGTTCCAGGTCCCGCCCAGGCGCCCTGCAGGGCCCCTACCGTGCATGGCATGGGTCTCCATGGTCATCAGCTGCGCCAGGGCCCAGAAGGCGTCTTCCTCACTGAGGAACATGACGAGGATTGCCACCATTTCACTCATCCCCTGACAGTAGCCCACCTCCTGCAAGAGCCAGAACCCATGGAATGGGGCCACCTCGCTGGGTGGAGGTCAGGACAAGGGGAACCGCCCTCCCGGCCCGGGTCCCGATCCTCCCACGGGCTCTTCAGGACCCAGCTCCGAGCGTTAGCACCACAGCGGTGCAGGCCAGAGCCCCCTGGCACCCAGCCCTCTGGGACTCAGGGGCCGTCCCTCCCCCGCACTGAGGTCTGCATCCATCCCGGCCTCAGTCCTTGGGTCCAGGGCCCCACCCTTGCGTCTCTGGGGCCATGGGAACTGGAGTCCCAACTAGGAGTCCCGCCCGCTCAGGCATCCTGGAGACAAAGGGCACCCGTGGGTAGGAGGGCTGGCAGCAGGGACACTCACGGGGTTGTAGACCGAATAGGCCAGGAGCACATGGAAGAGGGCTCGCTGCCTGGGGACGGGGAGAGCACGGTGGGTGGCTCTTGTCTGACCAAGCCACATGGGAGCCCCCTGAGGACCAGAGTGCAGCCCCAGGGGACCCGCGGTCTTCAGTGAGGCTCGGGGCTGGACATGTGGGGTGGGGGATGCACGTGGTGAGCACGGGACCCGGGGCGGGGCCGGGTGGCATTTGGGGGTTCATGGTCCTGGCTATCTTTACAGACTGTGTCCACTGTGGAAAATACAATGCCAGTCCACGCAGAAACACACCCAGCGGGCTGTCCCCTTGACCGTGTGCCCCTAGTTCTTCCATGTGTGTCCTCCCCCGGCCGAGTCTGTGCTGCCTGGCCCCCAGCTCCCCGTAGTGCCCCCTGCCACGACCCCACCCTCTGGCCCAGCTCCCCTCGTACCAGCTCCATGCCAACCTTTGGGTTCTGCTCACATAACTGCCCAGCCTGGCCCTGGCCCGGTGCCCTCCCCATCGCGGCAGCCCCGGTGGGTAGGTAGGGATCCCTGGGTCCTCCCACCCACGTTCACCATGTGGCCGAGACCATGTTTGCTGCTATTCCTCCCCCTCTCCTCAGAGACCCCGCGTCCCCCACCCAGAAGCCCCCTGGGTCGTGCCTGACCCCCTGAGGAACTCCCGTGCCCCCAGAGCCCCGCTTGTCCCCCAGCCTCACCCAACGCCATAGCGGTCCCGGAACATGATGTGGTTCCGGAAGGTGCGGTTCACGTCCAGGTCGATTTGCCGGATGTCCTTGGAGAAGACCTGGGCCTGCTCCTTCATTTTCTGGGGGCAGACCCGGGGAGGAGGACCGGCATCAGCACACGGAGCCCCAACGGCCAGCCACTGCCCCCGAGGCAGGGAGAATCCCGAGCCGCCCTGGGCCGTGTCCTGCGGACACCTCCTTCCTTCCC